TTAAAAACTCAATAATACAGAGGTTCTTTAATAGAAAAATTATACACAACCTAAATCCCAGTCATGACTCAAAGGCACTGGGAGCTGCTCTTGGTCCCATCAGCAACCTGCTTTGAGATTATTATTTAGCTGTATGTTGTAGTCATCTTAAGGCAGTATTTATGCATGTCCAGCTTTAATTCTGCATCTGGTTCCAGTTATGTTTTGCAGCCAAATACCCTTGTTCTGGTTTCTCTGAGTTGTGCTGACATATGCTGATTATTAATTTCACATCTGCTGTGGAGAGAGAGCGCAGATTATTTCAGATTTTGTGCGGAGCTCAATGTACAAGCTCCAGAACTGTCTGAGTCTACTCATGGGGTTTTATGTGCTTCCTTCAAGAAATTGGGGGAGAAGAAGTTGAGGAGTTCAATACAATACAACTTACATTGATACAGTTAAAGATCCCACTGCTCTGTTCGAAAAGGGAAGCGAGTTTCTCTCTCCCGGTGTCCTGGCCAACAATTCCCTGAATAAAATTGGTCACTCACTTCACGGCTGTTTGTGGCTCATTGCTGTTCCTGCATTTCGCCCACAAAATACACAGCCAATCCACTTTACAGTAAATCCTGTGAAGCGCTTTGAGAGGTTTTGATGACGTGATAAGGTTCAGCAGATATTTTGGCCGTTTGATGACTATGTTATGGAGAAATATTCAGGCAGAAAGACTAATTTTTCTTGGGAGGAAAGAAAGAAGAGTGATCGAGTGATGTAATACTCCGTGTTCTCTTTTATGTCCATTTCCCAGTCAACAACAAGAATATTTCATTTATAGAGTGCCTTTCACGTCGGGAGGACGCCTCAAGGCGCTGGACAATTGGGTCGGGACCCGAGCAGGGGGGAAATGGTCAGGGTGAGGGGAGGGAAGGGAGGGAGTGTGGAGGGGGTAGAGAGTCGAGAGGGGAGCTGAAGGCACGATCGAAGAGAAAGGTCTTGAGACGGCCTTGAAGGAGGAAATGGAGGAAGCAAGGCGAGAGCACTGGGGGATGGAGTTCCAGAGCCTCGGGGCTGAGAGACTGAAGGCCCGATGGTAGGGCGGTTAGGGCGGGGGATGTGGAGCAGACCGGAGCCAGAGGAACGGAGGGTATGGGCAGGTAAGTAGGGGGATAGTAGGTCAGAGAGGTAGGAGGGTGCAAGGCCAAGAATGGCTTTGTAGGTGAGGATGAGGATCTTGAATTCGATCCTCTGGAGGATGGGGGGCCAGTGGAGGCGAGCGAGGGTGGGAGTGATGTGGTCGCGTACCAGTCATTCTAAAACTCAAGATACTAAAGCCTGCATCATCTGATCTGTGAGCTCACTATATAACAACAGCTGATGGCCAATGCACTCCCTCTTCCAACCATCCGCCCTATGGCCGACCTTGGTAGAGACCAATGTGCGCAGTACGTAGCAATGGGCTGACTGCTGATTCTCTCTTACATAGAATTACAGAATGTCACAGCACAGAGACGGGACCTTTTGGCACGACAAAGGCTGCCTTCCATGCCTGTTCAATCCAGAATTTGGCATATATTCTCTCACACTCGCATTCTGCTCCTCACGTTCTCCCTGTGTCACACACACACACATCACTCTTTCTTACCTTCTCGCTCTCACCCACACTCTCACACTCGCATTCTGTTCCTCACACACTTCATGTATACCCCGAGACTCTGGAACACTCTCTCTCAATCCCTCCACCTTGCCCCCTCTTTCCCCATCTTCAGGTCGCTTCTCTTCAGTCATGCTTACGGTAACCATGCCCCTCACACACCCCCTGGCTCAACATCAGGCTCCGTCACTGCTAAGGGCTCTAAGACGCTACCGTGCGTGTGGGGTGCTATATAAATACAAATTATTGTTGTTTGGCATGTTGGGCAAATGCAAGGAACCCAGCAACCAATCAAAGATTTGTGAGATTGTAAACTTTGATACAAGCTGGATACACTTAGCATTTCATCATCTGTCCTTTATTGCTTTCAATCTTGCTTGATTGACTAAAACAGTGAGGATAACTAATGCCTCTTTGGATCCAGTGCAAGCTCTTGTTGTGGTATCTTGGGGAATCAATGTTTTTAATCATCAGCCTCTGTGCGTAGTTGCAATGCAGTGCCAAACATTAGATGTACATACAAGACAAGCTGGCAAGATCTGAGCATTACATTGAATGAGCTGTAGTGTTATCACTACAAAATACATAGGAAAAGAGTTTTATTGAACATGCTTTAATGCTATCTCCCTGATATAAGTAATCTCCCTGTAATAAATTAAGATGTTTGATTGGAAACAATGAGATAATCAATTTTAAATGGTGTCATGTACGTATAAAAGTTCAAAATATTCTCAGACAGAGGGCTTGGAAATTTACAAAGGCAGCACTCGTATTCATGCAGCTTCTATTAGTCATCATTTCAGAGATAGGCACACATAATTACACAGAGGTACAGATTGGCACACATCCCCAGATCTGAGATGTATACATGTAAAGGTGGTATATAAAGCCTGTGCGTATCTGGGTCAGGGTTTGCTTACACAGCTCCTACTCCTAAATTACAGGGAAAGGTTTGTTGGCTGATAAGTGATTCCACTCTCAACGTCTCTCACTCTTTCTCGCATTCTCTCTCTCACCCATTCTCTCACATTCGCATTCTGTTCTTCACACTCTTCCTGTGGGGCATGGTCCTTAACCTGGTTTCTCAATGTGAAAGTGATATGTATTTAGATATACAGCAACAGGCATGGGCCATTCGAACCATTTGAGCACTTTGAGATCTCTCGATGGCGTGATAAGGTGCTATATCAAATTAATGGATGAACACAAGTGCATTGTTACAGACAGGCAGGCAGCCATCTTCCCCATTTTATTAGATTATGGCTGTATTTTGTACTTTTATTACATTTGTATAGCACCTTTCACGTCGGGAGGACATCCCAAAGCCTGATTCTTTACTTGCCAATTATATACAGTATCTCATCTCCCTTACATACCTATACGTTGCTATAGTGCATGCCACTGATACTCCATTGATGTGTCAGTTTGGTTGACATATTAATAGATCAATACCCATAAAGTCTAGGCTGACATTCTAAGTACTGGGAGTGTGCTGCATTGTTGGAAGTGCCATCTTTTGGAAGAGACGTTAAATAGAGGTCTCATCTATGCCAGCCCAGGTGGATGTTAAAGATCCCATAATAATAATAATAATAATAATTGCATTTGATATAGCGCCTTATCAAGTCATTGAGACTTTGCATAGCAGTTCACAGAATATACTGTAAAGTGAATTGACTGTATAGTTTGTGGGCGAAACGTGGCAGCCAATTGCACACAACAGTGTCCCACAAAGAGGCATGGATTGAGTGACCAAATTTTTATTTTGTTAAAATTTTATTTTTGAAGGGTTTATATTACGCCTGGAAAAGTGATCCACCAATTGACTAACAACCAGGTTCTTACTTACTGCTGGGTAAACATAGGTATGTGGAGTAAGAAAACATGCCAAACATTTCACCCTGCCCAGCTCTAATCACTATGTTACAGGACTCTACAATCTCACTCTTCAAAAAGAGAAGGGAGTTTCACTCTCCCGGTGTGCTGACCAACAATCCCCAAAATAAAATAGGTCACCCGCTCCATGACTGTTTGTGGGACATTACTGTGTACACATTGGCTGCTGTGTTTGCTCACAAGTTACACTTTCAGTATGTCCTGTGAAGCACTTTGAGATCTTTCGATGGGGTGATAAGGTGCTATATCAAATTAATGGATGAACACAAGTGCATTGTTACAGGCAGGCAGCCATCTGCCTTCCATTTAACCTGAGCATGGCCCCTATTTGGGCCCAACGAGTGATTGACACGAATTTACTACTTTAATAAAAGAATCTTTTCATCTGATTTTGTTTGAAAGATTGCTCTCAGGACATATCATAGGCTCGCGTAATCCTTCACATTTTCTAACTTAGCTGACTGCTTGGTTCGGAAATGAGATGTTAAATATTTTTCATTAAGCAATATAAAATGGCCTCATAGGACTGTCGCCTTATAAACCACCTGTAACTCTAACCCTCCTCTGAACTCTGAGAGTCCTGACTTGAAAGCATACCACCGACCAGCTGTTTTTATAAGTAGTTCTGTGTTTATGAGGCAATTTCATTCCTTGCCTGATGGTTGTTTTTGTCAGTATCAGGCTCTCTGGTGGACACCAATTGCAGGATTTAATGTCTCAACTCTCAACACTGTAGTACTCTCACCCAGCACTGTACTGGAGTGGCAACTGGGAGCTCAGCGACCCATTGTGGGGCTGAAAGCCACAAACTTCTGAGGCAGAGTCAGGAATTCTAGCACCTGAGGCTAGAATATAGCTTTAATATATATATAGCTTTAAAGACCAGGATCGTGTCTCCCTCTGCATTCGTTCTTCTCTTCAGCAAAATTTTATTTAATATTTGGCGTGGAGCGACAGAGAGAGAGAGAGATCGACAGAGAAAGACACACACATAGTGGGACAGAGAGAGACAGAAGGAGGGACATAGAGAGAGGCCTGTCACAGAATAATCACTGTCCACATATTCTTATGGCTCTATATCACCAGGATACGGGCAACAACAAGTTGCATTTATATTGTGCCCTTCATGTAGGGTAATGTCTTGAAGTGCTTAAGAGGGCTGGGATTGGTTCACTGAGCAAGGGAGAGGGCAGACGGAGAGGGCAGAAGGAGAGACCACAAGGCAATTCAAAGAGGTAGGATTTGAGGTGGGGAGCAAGTGAAGTCTTGGTGCTGGGGGAGAGGATGGAGTTTGGTCTGGGTGAGGATGCGGGCAGCAGAGTTTTGGATGAGTTGCAGCTAATGAATGATGGAGCCAGGGCAATCCAGGAAGAGTTTATTGGAAAAGGCAGGGATGTTATGTACTATACTCTGTTTTATGGCGTGGATGAATTTTCAGTCAGGTTAGTTTGGGAAATGAACAGATGGACAGAGATCATGAACAGGAATTTTTTTTATTGCCACCTTTATCCATAAAAATACAAACTAACAGGAAAACAGCATGGAATATCTCTCACTAAAGATTCACCTCAGCAGGCTGTCTCAGAGAAGTGTGGTTAGAGAATTATTTGGGATGGACAAGTTTGCAGGGTTATGGGAAGAGAGCGGGGGAGTGTGATTGATTTGGGTAGCTCTTTTCAAAGAGCCAGGACAGACACAATGGGCCGAATGGCCTCCTTCTGTACTGTATAATTCCATGATGCTATGATAGTAATAGCTCACTGTTTAATAATTCCACCTGCCTTGGTACAACATTTTTTTATACTCTGGGTAGACAGCAGAGCTGGTTACATATAATATAAAATTGCATTTAGTTACACACTGGTTCCAGTGTACATTCCATACACTGGTTACACACTAGTATACAGTCTAGTATACAGTCAATGAAGGTTAATAGTAGAGACATTCAAATTGTTAATTAGAATTTTTAATTAAAAAGTTTTCAAAATTTCTCTTGGCTTTCCTCTTCAGCTGCCCAGTCGCTGCTGTGAGTGAAGACAAACTCAACCTACAATAAAGAAAGAAGCTTGTTGTTAACATGAGAAATCGCATACCACAAACTATTACAGATATTAACAATTATCAGGAAATGCATGTTAATGTTTGTTTTTACTATAGATTAGAATTACATTCTGTTTTGTTGTACACTAACAATTCTGTTTAAAGTTATTCCTTGCATTTGTTTGAGATCTTCTTGTTCTCAATGGAACGAGTGCTGAATCATATTGAAGATCAAGCATGTCATTTCTGTCTGCAATAACCTTGCACTAGTCTATATTCCAAGACACTGGCACTGGTCTAAGGCGAAAGGCACTGGGCTTCGTTAACACTCCAATGCAGTGCAATGTTGTGGTGTATTGTCAGAGATGCTGACTTTTGGATGAGACTTTGGTCCTCTCTGTCTGTTCAGGTGGACATTAACAATCGCATGGCACTATTCGAAAAGAGAAGGGAGTTTCTCTTCCAGTGTCCTGGCCAACAATCCCCCAAATAAAATTGGTCACTCACTTCACGGTTGTTTGTGGCTCATTGCTGTTCCCGCATTTTGCCCACCAAATACACAGCCAATCCACTTTACAGTATATCCTGTGAAATGCTTTCAGACGTCTCAATGACGTGATAATGACTATGACAAATGCAAGGACTATTATTTTTATTATCTGCTAATTGAACGTTGAATTAGGTCAGCCTCATTAGGCCAAGAATTCCAAGCTCATTTACAAATCAGTTTGTGCCACAGGCATATGAAATAAAGTTTCCACTGTTGGTATACAACTCTATTGCAAGTTGTAATGATGTGAAGTGAAATAGGATCATAGGAGACAGGAGTAGGCCATTCGGCCCCTCGAGCCTGTTCTGCCATTCTACTCGATCATGTCTAATCTGTACCTCAACTCTATTTACCTGGCTTTGCTCCATATCCCTTGACATCCTTACCTAACAAAAATCCATCCACCTGAGTCTTCAAAAAAATTAATTGATCTAGGATCCACAGGCTTTTGGGGTTAGAGTTCCAGATTTCCACTACCCTTTGTGTGAAAATTTTACTATAGTTTAAAATTAAGTTAACGTTTAAGTGAAGTCAACAAAGCAGAACTTAAATGTAAAGCAATTTGTGGATGAGTACAGTTCTCCACACTTGGAACAACTCATCCTGCCTGCGCTATTAGGGACGTGGTGAGTGGAGGGTTCATAAGAGATTATTTCAGGGAGAGACTATTTCTATTGACTGGAGGGTCAATAAATTCTGGATTACATAGGACGGATATCAGAAGAGTTAATTTTGGAGTGTTTAGAGAACTTGGAAGTCTTCACCATAAATGGCTGTTGAAAGCAAGGCAAAAACAACAATATTTAATAGGGAAATGGATAAATTCTTCAGAAAAATAATAAAGGATAAGTTGACCGAGCAAAAGATTGGATTGTAGTTAGCATTGGTAGGGGAGTGAGCATCAGCACAGATAATATAATGTTGAAGAATACTTTGAGTGTTAAGTCAGTCTGGAAATGTAGCAATGACATAGAGATTTTGCTAATCAATCTCACTAGCAGGACAGGAGGTGATAGCACTTTAACCCAACGCACCCAATGTTTATTTGTAGTCGAAACTTTCAGTACCCCCACGTCCAAAACCTGCAAGAGTAGAACACAGAGATCAACGTTAGTGAGACCATAACAGTCGGAATGGCTTAGAAGTTAGACTCATCACAGTATTAACTAGAATGCATCAAAAGCCACCATGGCGTTACCTCTTTAAATAAGTCGTGGATAAACAGAGAGATCATCAGCTTACCTTTCGGCCCAAAGAGTGCATTATAGCACGGGTTATGGCAGTAGGGTTTTCCGTCATGCTGCAAACAAAGAACACAATGTCAAGAGGAGAAATGGGAGATTAAACAGAACAGAGCAACAACTTACATTTCTATCGCACATTTCGCTTAAACAAAATATCTCAAAACGAGATTGGAAATGAAGTGAAAGCTCTTTGTGGGCAAACGTGCAATCCACATTGCACCAACAACTTGTCACAGGCAATGAATAGCCATTAGATTTAAATTTGGGGTAACTGTGGGAATGGATTGCAATTGTCACAAAAGTTCCATTGAGCCATAGAACTTTACAATGCAGAAGGCCATTTGGCCCATCGTGTCTGTGCTGTACTCTTTCAAAGAGCCATCCATTCAGGACAGTTTACCTGCCTGCAAATGGTGTTTTTGATAGCTATCTGGTTCCCTCTTGAAAGCTAATATGGATACTGCCTCAACCACTGCTCCAGACAGAGTATTCCACATTGCAATGACTGTGTGTGTGTGTGTGTGTGTGTGAATATATATATATTAAAAAGAAATGCTCCAAATCTCCCCAATTACAACTTTGATAATCTCAAATTATAACAGCAACTTGTATTTATACATCACTTGTGGTAGTGTCTCTGAGCGCTTGATAGTGGTGGAGCTTGATTAATGCTCTCCAGGCACTGACTCACCAAACCAGGGTGGAGAATTTCTCAAGAAAAACACATTTATTTTGAACAGTGGAGAGGGGGAAGAGGGGAGATTAACATCCACCCGACTCTAGAGGCTTAAAATAATGACTCGATCAAATAAAAAAGTACCGTGAGCCGGAAATAAAAAAAACACATTTTAATATAAAGTGCATACATACCTCTGCATGTGAGCCTGGACTCAAGGTTTTGTTGCATTTTTCACACTTCAAGCATGGTCTATGCCAGTCCTTCCCCAGGGAGGTCACCCTTTCAGCTGAGAACAAACATACACAATATTAAGGCGTTTTTGAGCTCGGCAACATTATAGAACATCTTCATGGGTGAATACTGTTGGGTGTAGTGACTGTTTCTCATAGGCGAACGAACACAGCAGACAGTTGTGCGTAGCAGTGTCCTGTAAACAGCCTCGAGGTGTTTGGATGATTAATGTAGTGGGTCGTTGACCAGAAGCAATGCATCTCTCTGCTTTGAATATTGTAATGGGGTCTTTAACATTCACCTGAAAACAACAGGCAGCTAGTCCTTTGTTTAATAGTCAAGCCCTCCTGGTATCACGTTGTTGAGACGTCTAGAAGCACTTCACAGAATATACTGTAAATTGATTTGACTGTGTATTTTGCGGGTGAAACTCAACAGTCAGTTGCGCACAGCAGTGGCCCACAAACAGTCATGGATTGAGTGATCACATTTTTTGGGGGGAGAGCAATTATTAACCCCGGAAAGTGATGCGCTAGGTAAACAGAAGCGTGTGGAGTAAGGAAACTAACCACTACGCTTCGGGACTCAGTTTATTTGACATTATCTTGACTTGCAATTGCACAGGACTAAATACTGCCATCTATCTAGCCAATCCCAAGTTTGGAACAAAAAAGACTCTCTCAAAACCTTAAATAGATTTCATTCCTTCACTAAATAGTTATCCATTACCTTCTTGAACTCAGTGACACAATCTGCCTTGATCACCTGCCTGGCTATCCCACCTTGTGCAGAGTAATTCAACCAGTGCTAACTGTTCACCTAACCTAGTCCGAGCACAATGATATGTTGACCGTGTTTAACATTATTAAGGTTCTGTTTATAGCCTTTAGGGTTTTGGCTCATTCCTCACTACTAGTTAATCAATAACAGCTGCAGTAAACGTCACATAAGTTTTATCAGTTGGGATCATATATTTAATATGACTTATGCAAAGTATGAGTTATGCTAAACTTGCATAGAATATAAACTTTTGAACGGGACTTGGGCAGATGTATGACTTAGGCGATTATACAGATCAGACTTATGCAAGTTTTATTGTACCACACTCCTCCTGTTATTGTTTCTTCATTTGATCACTGGCAGGATAAGATACACTTTCTGCCAGTGCTTGCTTGCATATTTCCCACCCAGTTCAATGACACTGAGGGTCATCTGTATTGCAGCCACTGTTGCTGCCAGTAATAAAGTAATCCAGCTGAAACCATGGTGCAAATCTGGGATGTCAGCTGAGATGACTACACTTCATAAAAATGTCTGTAAGTGTTTTCAAACATTAACATTTTTGGCACTACATCAAATGCGAGACTTGTTGTAATGTTACAGATACTATGGCACTATTCGAAAAGAGAAGGGAGCTTTTCTTTTCCCTTTGAGTTCCTGCATGGTTCAATAACACAGTATATCTTGTGTTCATCTACTGGGAACCTTTGTTGAAACATTAACAGATTATTTTTGATTAATGTATAACTGATCTCCCACAGAACAGAGGCCAAGCAAATGCAGTTGTCAATGGGTGTAACAATATTCATAATTCTTGCATTTGATATAGCGCCTAGTCACGTCTCAGAGACGTCTCAACGCACTTCACAGAATATACTGTAAAGTGAATTATTCTATTTTGTGGGCGAAACGCGGCAGCCAATTGCACACAGCAGTGTCCCTTAACAGTCGTGGATGAGTGACCAAATTATTTTTTTTTGGAGGGATTATTACCCCTGAGAAGCGTTTCACCAATCAAATAACAACTGGATTCCTACTTACTGCTCGGTAAACATGTGGCGTGTGGAGTAAGGAAACTTGCCTAAGGTTTCGCCCTGCCCGGGAATCAAACCTAGGTTCTCTAACAACACAGTATATATACTGTGCGCTTGTGGAAATGTAATTTGAACTGTCACATAACTGGTTAAAAACATCTTGCAATACAGTGTAAATAGTCCTTCACCTCCTGGCTGCATACTGTCCTCTGTATCAGTAAAAATTGGTAAGCCTACTAACTCTTGGCAGCAAATTAAAAGATCTCCTTCAAGGTCTTTCCTGCCTCACTAAAACTAATTGGTAAGGAGTATCGCTATGTTTGACAAATTTAATTGACATGCAAAGCCATGCAAGAGTAAAAAACTATCAATTATGAAAATTGAATAAAAGTTTCATGTGAACATTTTGGTTGGATAAGATTTGTGTATCATGTATTCTAAAAGTATATACATACTCTATATAATCAGATAAAATTGGAAGTTGTCCTGCTCGGGTATTGTAACCTGAAAGGACCTCTTCCCTCACTGCAGTGGGTTAATAAAGCTTACAATGGTTGATTGTTGAAACTGTCTTTGAGTTGTGTTTTATGTAGCGCATCGAGCCACGACACGTTCATCTACTGGGATCCTTTGTTGAAACATTTTATTAGCATAACTGATCTCCCACAGAACAAGAGGCCAAGCATACACAGTTGTTCAGTCCAATTTTTTTAAGGTATAATGATATCACAGTACTGAAAGAGTTTTCTAATAGTTGACTGGGTGAGTCGCAAAACAGGACGTTCCAAGGTTCAATTGCTAGTCTATGTTACCCAATCTCAGCTCGTGCTGAATTAAGGGTATTACAATTGGCATCCAAATCCCTGAGCTAGGAAAGTTGGAAAAGGAATGGGGAAAGCAAGGCAAACTGGACTTGTGGTCCAGAAACCTATATCCGGCTGGAAAGGGAGGGCATTTCGCCAGTCACATAGAACAAGATTAGACTCGTGCATGGAACTCTCAGTAGCAATCGATTACCTTCAGGGAGAAGAGAACATTAGAACCATGTTCGCATTTGATGTCATGCCAAGAATGTTGAAAAGCACTTCCAGACATTTTTACAAAGTGTAGCGACTTAAGCTGACTTTCCAATGCAGTGCTGGTATTATGTTGCATTGTCGGAGGTGCTGTCCTTTGGATGAGATGATAAAATGAGGTGCTGTCTGCCTGTTCTGATGGATATTAAAGATCCCATGGCACTATTCAACAACAACAAGATTACATTTGTATCACGTTGGGAGGACATTCGAAGGCGCTGGACAGGGTACAGCATTTCAGACCCGAGGTGGGGTCGTGTGGGGGGTGGGGGGAAGAAGGGAGGGAAAGAGAAGGAAGTTTCTCTCTCCGGGTGTCCTGGCCAACAATCCTCCAAATAGTGGCTGTTTGTGGGACATTGCTATGTGCAAATATTCAAATATTTCTGTAAGTAATCTTTGTGTTGCTGTAGCAAGGCTGGGTGGATCTTGAGATACACTTGGACTTTAATGAGAATTGTTCTCCAGCTGCTGAGTATGTGCAACAGTGTGACAGCTTGATCTATTTAAACATCCGTGCTCTCTCGTGCAAGACTGGTTGTGCAATAGGAGTGTGGGTTCTTGAGCATAGGAGAACTTTATGTCACAGAGGGAAAGGCAGAGAGCAAATGCACCTCAGAGGGAGGATAACCACCAACATATAGCAAATGATAAGCAATTGTTAAGAATAATCATCTCTGACTAAAACCGCACACAACTTTCTTAGAAACTAACTCGGAAATAGTCCTATCTCTCTGTTGCATCAAAAGCCTTGTTTTTCCTCTTTAAGATTTCTCCCTTTCCCCCATCGATGGTGATGGCTCACATTGGGTGTGGCTCAAAGCCTCAGCGTTCCCTCATTCTTGTACAAGCATTCAAGGCTGTGCAACCGGAGCGATTGTCAAGTCTGACCCTCCCCAAAGAGCCCCAAACACAAAATGTACCTATTAGTTGCTGGATAGTGATCCATGCCCAATCCCATCCTCAGTCACTGAAACCAGTGGTGGTTACAATTCCCAGGACGTAAGCAGACAACAGGAAATTTCCTGGTCTGTAGAGCCATTTGCTGAGCCCAGAAAAAAATATATTCAGATTCCCTACCGCACTGAGCAATTAGATACACGTGTCTCAGCTCTACCCAAATGTACATACAGTGCATCTGTTTTTAATACAACAACAACTTGCATTTATATGCAGGGTAGTGTCTCAGAGCACTTGGTAGTGACAAGCCTGACGCTGAGCCAGGGTAAGTGCAAAATCACCCCCCAAACCCCATGTATGTTTTTTCTTCAAAGCTAGAAACACAAATGTTGCACTGTGCAGTACATGATACTGTGTTATATCAGGCTTGAGAAATCGCTGTGTTGCCCAATTGCTTGGGGTTGAGTATGTGGGTGGATACATCACTGGGTGTGGTTCGGAGCAAGGGGAGATTTTCCTCTTAAGCGTAAAGCGGTGTGTAAAAAAACATCACAATAGCATTGAATCCAATCGAGAGTGAATACATTGCACAGTCTCGGGAGTGGTGCAGTCTGCCAACTTACACGGGCAAAGCAATTGTTCAGCCATTAAATAACTGATGTTATTGGCAGTTATACCTCACATAAGTCGAGACCATACATTTAATATGACTTGTACAATGTATGAATTATGTCAAACTTGCAATAGAATATAAGTTCTTGAACGGGTTTTGGGGCAGATGTACGACTTAAGCGATTATACGGTTTCTACAGGTCAGACCTGTGCGAGTTTTACTGTATAGTTTTACCAACAATGAAGACGTCTGGAGAGAGCTACCAGCTTTTTAAAACAAAATCACTGGAGGCAAAAGCACAGAAAACTCTTTAGCATCAACAGCTGTAATGAATGCACAAGGTATTATCACCTTTTGGTTTCATCAAAGTGGAGACTCTGATCAATGTCAGCGTTTAACTCTGCACAGATATTAATTATTAGCTTGAAACTACGCACCATAAACTGGACTGGTAAAGTCAGTCTACTTATGATCTAAGGTTAACATAACGGGTATCAAGCATTCACACACACACATACACAGTGTAGGTTGCTTTTATCAGAAAACACAATCCGAAATGGACAAGTAGATTTGCAACACTCGAATTTAAAAACAAAGCTATAAAAGTTAACTCTGAATTGTGGGGAAAAAAAACTTGAGACAAGAGTCAACACGAGCAAAGATACAACTTTCCACCCCGAGTGAGTGAACAGCAGAACACATACTTGCTGCCTTTTCAAAAAAAATTACACAAGAACAGTTTCGATTTAGCAAACTTAACAGAGAAAATATGATCCCTTACCGAAATAGACTTCTTTCTGGCATTTGGGACACTTAGGCATCTTTGGAGGCAGAGAGACTTGCTTAGATGTAGACTGTAAGTACCTGGATGGTATTTCCTTATGTGACACTCCCAACTAAAAGACCAGTACTTATATACTTGGGGAGGAAAGGGTGGGGGAGTGAGTGATAGCTCTGCACTGCATAAGCTGCACTCAAGACAGGAAGCAAATTTTGCAGATTAGAAAGTCCACAAACACAGGAGTGCAATCTGATGAGGGAAGTGGGTTCAACTCTCCTTCTGTAAGGGAAGAAAAACCCTGCCCCTTTTTTTTTGTGTGTGTGTGCAAATAACACTGCTGCCACACAACACCTCATTGCAAACATGAGTGAGTGGAAGCAGTTCTCAGGACACTGCTCTGCCTGCCAAGTTCTGCCCATGAGCTAAGCTGGGTTGGGCTGCCATCAGCAGTGCCCTGAGGTACTGGGAATCCCCCCTGGCTCAGGAACAGAGGGTGAAAAATCCAACTGAGCCAGTCTAAGATTGAATTTAAGAGATTATCGCAAATCTGCACCCTCCAAAATGCAGACAAAGTTTGGCAACGGAATGTCAGTATCGAGTCTTGAGTTTCTGAGACCGGTGGGTTTACAGTACTCCAGTACACTGCTTAATGGCAGCTCAGCCAGGTTGACTCATCTGCCTAAGTTTTACTCATAGCAGCTCATTCTTTAAACATGCAACACCTCATTGCAAATCTAAGTGGGAAGAGTCCCTGTGTCCTTCAAAGACCTGGGAATCATCCTTGTTGCTCACCTCTACACTACCTCTCGGACCTAGACAGATGACTTACACTGTGTCAACCAGGACCAACTGCTTGGCCTGACCAGAGCACTACAGACACTGAGAATAATGTCTGGGGCTCTGGACACGAGCAATATAGCCCAGGTTACTTTATTTATTGCTGCCTCACACTGTTATAGTGAATGACGAGTCAACCAATACCCCTAGATCTCTTTCAGCTTGCCCCCTTGGCATGTTTTATCCTATTTATGGAGTACTAGCTGTACCCGTTGCAGCAACCAAAGGATCCAATATGGAATGTAGATTGACCCCCAGGCAGACACACAGACAGACATTTCATCTTTATCTATACTCATCTGGGAGGACTCCTGTGGGAAGATTCCTTTTGGTTCTTTAAAAATGTAATTTTGTTGTTGTTGCCATAGCTTAGCTTCGTTTGTGTTCTTTATTTTGTTCCCACCACTTGGCTACGTGTGTGCTCTATGACGTAGGATGCCACAGTGCCAAGATCCACCGGCAAGGCCACCACGTGTAACTGCAATGTGTGCGTACATATGTGGGTGCTCTGTAACGCACGATGCCACAGAGACGCTTTAACTCGATGGCCATCAGGTGTAACAGCAGCCAAAAACATAAAACTGAAAATAACTCATGAACGATAGGAGATACCTGAAAGCACATATGCCCATGTCACTCCCAGTTGCAAGACCTTTCTGATGAGGTATAAATCATGTCTCTACATCAATCGGTTATTGAGATCCTTCTTGAAACGCAGACAGACATTGTTGTATTATAAGTATAGATATATAATAATAACAGTAATCCTTGCATTTGATATAGCGCTTTCATGTTTTCTGGACGTCTCAAGGCGTTTCACAGAATACACTGTAAAGTGAATTGACTATATATTTGTGGGTGAAACGCTATGAATATGAATATAAATATGAAATATGAAGATAGATACGAGAAGATAGATGTGTTTCCTATTTGTAGTAACTTGCATTGATGTGTATTGAATATAATTTGCCAGTCATCAGCCCTTGTGCTTATCCTATCAATCGCTGTTTGTAGGTTCCTCAAATTCCACAATTCTCCAACTTAATGTTATCTGAAAATATAACTTACATTGCATTTTCATGTAACATTACATTTACATTACATGTGGATCTGTTTATATATATATATGAGGAACAGGAGTGATCCCAGTACAGATCCCTGAGGCACCCCACGTTATACTTCTCACCATTTCCAGCCCCCATCTGCTTCCTTCTCTTCAGTCAATTTTGAATCCCCATCCAAGCCTTGTCCTTGATTCCAGCAGTTACCCCAATGCACACTCTGGGGTCCCCAAGCCCAGGCTCTTGCCAACCAGCGCCTAATACATTCTGGAATTAGGTAAACAGGATGTGTCCCTCCAGGGAGAGAGTGTGCATTCCATTCCAACAATCTATCTCTTTCCATGTGTAGGTGGGATGCATGGAAAGCTCAGTTTGGTTTGCAGACTCTTAAGCACAATGATGGGTTCTGCATGTGTCAGACACCTGGTAAGTGACCTCAGGTTGTGAAGGAGCTTTCATGCAATACTTTTGTCAAATACCTTTTGGAAGTTGAGATACATTATAAGATTTCCTAGAGTCAATATGGACTGACATCTCCTCAAATAAAAGTCTATTGGTCAGTCAGGAACTACTTCTTCTGAATAGACGTTGGCTGTCATTTAATAGATTATTTTTATACAAACAATCTTCTTTTTTTTCTGATGATTGACTCCATTTTTTTATTGGATACTGCAGATGCAGATCTTCCCTCCCCTATTTTGAATAATGCCCTGAGAGTGTTGATATCATCTAAGTACTTGCTTAACAGCCGAAAGATAACATGCCCACTGATGCAATACTGTTTCCCCACCCCATTACTGCACAGGGGTGTCATCTTAGACTGTGACCTCAAACAGGATTAAGACAGCTCATGGTTACAATTTGTTAAACTATTTGTTGTGTAGCAGGAAGAATGATGTTGAAAGCTTTTCACGTTAAATAAACATGTTCCATTAAAAGGGAGAGTACCGAGTAGATTCATACAGTGCCAAGAAATCTAATACTGTTTATGTGGGATCACCTGTTTGTTGAAAGATGTCTTTAAAAAGACCTTTAGGATAACAATGCAATGAGAATTCTTTTTAAGGGCATACTCCTGGTACCTCAATGTATAGTATTGGGTGAAGTACAGTAAACTCCTGATCACTCCACCTTGGCTTAACTTGTCACTACTACCAAAGTTAATATTCCAGCCACATTTATTGATGTATTTGTATATATGCCAAACTCAGGACAGTCAACAGGTCAATCTGTATCTGAAAAGGTTAATCTTTTGGATGTGTTATTTCATCAGAACCTTTACTCTGGTTAAAGAGAGTTTTTGTTCTGATGAAAGGTCACATGCAAATGTTGGCCTATTGTTTTCTCTTTCAGTTGCTTTCACCCGTATCCAGGATGTGCCACATCATTTTTGGTACTTCCAGTATGTTCAGTTCAATCGCTCCTTATAATGGCATTTTGTATTGTGAGAACACATCAGCACATTCACGAGATCTAGCTCATGGAATAGAAGCGCCAAAAGAAACAAACAATAATATTAATAATAATATAATAATAATCCTTTGGTATTTGGCATAGACATCACCAAGATGCCTCAGGCGTATCATATAATATAAATGACTGTATAATTTGCAGCAAAACATGGCAGCCAATTGCACACAGCAGTGCCCTGCAAAAATGGATTGCGTGACCAAATTTATTATTATTTTAAGGGATTATTACCCCCAGAAAGCGATCCGCCAATCGACTAACAACCAGATTATTAGTTACTCTAGATAAACAGAGGTGGGTGGAGCAAGGAAACCTGCCTCAGGTTTTGCCCCATCTGGGAATTGAATCCGGGGCCTCTTGCTTGTGAGGCAAGCGCTCCAACCAATACGCTACAGAACTTCACATAAAACAACAACAACAACAAGATTCCATTTATAGAGCGCCTTTCACGTTGGGAGGACGTCCCAAGGCGCTGTACAGTTGGGTCAGGACCCGAGCAGGGGGGAAATGGTCAGGGTGCGGGGAGGGAAGGGAGGGAGCGAGGAGGGGGTAGAGAGTCGAGAGGGGAGCTGAAGGCACGGTCAAAGAGAAATATCTTGAGACCGGCCTTGAAGGAGGAAAGGGAGGAAGCAAGGCGAAGGCACTGGGGGATGGAGTTCCAGAGTCTAGGGGCTGAGAGGCTGAAGGCCCGGCCACCGATGCTAGGGCGGTTGGGGCGGGGGATGTGGAGCAGACCGGAGCCAGAGGAACGGACGGTACGGGCAGGTAACTAAACACATTAAAAAACATAGGACCTTGAGGGGAAATCCTTTGGGCATCACTTTGCTGGGGTCGATAATCAATTTCAGATTTCAACAAATTTCCAAATAATGCAAAGAATTTAGCAAACATATGGCACAAAATAAATTCAGATACCCAACGGGCCAAAAAGTCCAGATGCATTGGGAAAAAGTATATATCTTTCCGGTGTCTCGCATTATATCATTCCGATGTCTCAACATAACTATCAACTAACACCAAGGGAAATCTGGCAAACTGGTAGTGCAGTACTGCATTCACACAGCATTCCTCGCAGCATTGACTGAGAAATATTTGCTATCTTTACATTTGAGCCAAGCACCTAAATCAAGCTCGTCGCTTTCTGTGGCCAAAGTAACCAAAAAGCTTTGCATCTGACTTCATGTGTTCTTGAGATCTGGCGTGCAGACTGCCCAGAGACTAGGGGAATGTAACTCTATATTCCCATAGTCCCATTTGTCTTTATGTTCACGCTATGTCTCGAGGAGTGTTTCCAAACAATGTTTTTATGGTGTTTTTTGGACTACAAAGGTTTGCTCTGCCTGCACAGTACAGTATCTCAATGACTTCTGTCTGATTGATGGGTGCAAATGTTTTTGCCATGTATTGGGGTATTGCACATCTCAAGACCTTCCTCTTCGACCGCACATTCCCTCCCTGCCCTCCACCACTCCCAATTCCAAACCCCAGCTTGGGTGCAAATCTTTAATAAGTCCTCCCAACATGAAAGGTACAATACAAATGTAATTTTTTGTTGTTGTTGTTGTTCCTGTGTAGAAGCAGACGAACAGGCCTTTTGAGCCATGCCTAAGGCCTATTAAACCAGCCTAATCCTAAGAATATATCCAATATGATCTTCCCTTTTCCTATCCCTAACTCGCTATGGGAAGGGTAGTATATATTGTCATGGAATGGTTGCTGAATGCTCTTCTCTTTCTATGAGTTTGTACAGTTACAAACTGCCAATCGAAGGAAAACGGACCAAAGCCCAGAAGGGTAAAGGTTAATGGAGTGTGTAACATTCCACTACTTTACACAGAGAGTTTGGATGGACTAAT